GCAGGGATGCCACCTGCTTGAACCATTCCTCTGCCCTTTTCCCCCAACATGAGAGCTTTGAAAATGTGGCTGCATATTTTTCCAGCATCTCCTCCCCAACAAGCATTTAAGTCATTGCGTTGAGCTAACACAGCGCAGCACGCAGACCAAACCCTTCTTGTTGCCCTGGGCACCACTGCAGTGAGCTCCAGGGCGGAGCGGGACCCGCGCCTGGGCAAACAGACGCTGCTGCCTGCCGGCACCCCAGCCCCCCTCGCGAGAGCCAGCACTCCTGCTCCCCACACCTGGGAGCTGTAAAGCCTCAAAAACCCCATAAAAGCAGGAGGCAGGAGGAAAAAAGCCATCTTCCCCCACCCTGAATAAACCCCTGCCGTTTGCATGTGTTTAGAGCTGCTCCAGCAGCGGAGCTCCTGCAGCACAGCCCTGGGGAGAACATTTGTTAGGTAAAAACTACAGCCAAGGAAAATCCCCCTGGGAGACTTCTGACAGCTCCCACTTAGCGGTGCAAACCCCAGCGTATCCCTGCTCCCCCTCCTCCTGCTCGGGGCCAGGGGAGGATGGAGGGACGGTGCTTTCTCCTTCCAAACACTCCACAGCCGCCGGCACCTCGGGGCTCCTCTCAGGGCACCACAGGGTCAGAATTTGGGGAACAAATTGAAAATAAAGGATCATCAAGGTCCCATTTTGCAACTGGGAGTGTTGCCCCTCAGCACGCTCATGCACTGAGCAAGCTCCCCATCTGCAGAAACCTCGGCACTCAAGAGCATTGCTGATGCTTTTTGGTCAAACAAAGCCTGCAGAAAAGGCAACTAGAGGTTTGTACGACAGAAGGGCATCCTCTGCCAGCAAAGCAAGCTTCAATGTGACCAAGAGAAATAAACTGGTTTATTGCTTTGAAAGCTCTGTTTAGAAATAGGAGACACCTAGAACTGTGGCAAGTACAGCCTCGGTGGAGAAGGGACATCTCAGGGCTCCTTACCAGAGGGATTTGTTCACTCCCTGGCAATCAGCTACAGGTGAGAGAGGCTGTTGGAGCCTCCCTGAGCCAAAGATCACCCGCAGCACTGCAGGAGATGGAAGGCTTGGGAGACTGACAGCGGGCAAAGACACAAACAGGAGATGCTCCTGCACATTGCCACCACCACAGCCCTGCTGTCATCTGGACAAGCCTAGAGAGAAACCATCCCCCTACCATGGGGAACAGCAGCAAAGGTCCCTGCTGAGCTGACTTGGAGAAAGTTTATCCCGGTGCTCAGCCCTGCACAAAGCCCAGGGAGCGCTCTGCCAGGTCTCTGCTGCAGGCAGCATCCCAGCTCCGGCAGCCCGTGGGGAGGGCAGAGCTGCCGACCAGCAACAGCATCCTCAGCCCATCCTCCACCACTCTTTGGACTCAAAGTAAACAAAATGATTAACCCTCCTCTACAAGAGGCAGAACTGAAGCACCAGCTGCAGTCCTCAGCCTCCAGGGGCAACGGTCATGCTTTCCGCAGGAATTAATTCAAAGGGGTTTTAAGTGTGCTGGTTTTGAAGTCTAGGCTTGAAAGACACCCATACACCAAATTGCATCCTCTCTTTGGAAGCCAAAGCCACAATGAGGGCTTGTTCTGTGGCCACGCAATCATCCGATGAATATTCATGCAACTCCCCTAAATTGCTTTTATCCTCTATTTCTTATACAGGAGGGTAAGGGGAGGAGGTACAAAGGAACCAGCATCCTTCCACCAGCACCTTCCCTGCCTCCCTACCCCAAACAGGAGGGCACAGCCACTGCCTAAAGCCATCCTGTGACTCCAAGCCTTCACTTCCCTGTCCAAGCAGTTCCCAACGCACCCAGGAAAGGCTCCCACCCCGCAGGCAGGCTCCAAGCCCCACCACAACCCTGGAGTGGCCAGAGCACGTGGTCCAGCACAGCAGGATTTCATCCCTGCACCATCCCTCCAGCTGCGGCATCAAGGCAGACTGTGCTTCAGGAGCTCGGGGCGGAGGAGATGGGGCTGAGCCCAGCTCTGATAATGCAGCGTTTCTGGCCCATCATTAGCAACAGTCCAGAAAGCAGCAGCACCCTGCTCTCAGCCAGCTCCATCGCCCTCGAGTCAGCACTATGCTCCTCTCAGACCCAAACCAAAACTAGCTGGGACACAGGGCCAGGTCCCTGACGCTCCACTCTGGCGCATCAGCAGTGTCCAGCCATGGAGTAAAGCTCTTTTTCAGCAGATGACGCCTGGGACCTCAGTCAAGCATCTCAGCTGTGCTGACAACAGCAAGGATTTAGCCTTCAGATATCAAGGCCAGCCAAAATCTGATACTCCTGCACCTGATTTGCTCCACAGCTTTCCCAAAGCTCCTCCAGGCTCGAGCCCAGCAGCCTGCTCCCCCAGAGCCTTGCTGCAGGCACCAAACACCATCAAGGGACAGGGACCATTTGGGACTGATCCAGCCAGACCTGCCCTGTGGCCACAGGCACATCGGGGCCTTGGTTACAGACCGTGTGCCTTCTTAGTTGTCTTCAGCTGTGCTACACGCTGCAAAAAAATGTGTGCATGTACAGGAACCCCCATTCCCCTGCGGTCTGTGCCCCTGTGCAGCCGTGGCTCCATCAGGCAGCACAAGGAGCCTGGCTGCACGCTGCCTGCAGAAAACTGCCCCGGCACCAGAGCAGGTGCTTGGAGTGTTTCATGCAAAGCTTGATAGGACTTGATGGTCCCCAAAAGTGCAAACTGCTTTCTACTCACAGGTCACGCCGACCAGGGCCACCCTGAGCAGCAGGTTCACCAGGCAGCCCCAGCGCTCCGACACGCGGGCAACGAGGGGAGGGATGATGATCTCGGCAGGCACGTAGAACTGCACGGCATACGTGAAGAAAATCCCGAAGGAGAAGAGCAGTTTGACAGCTTGGTACAGCCTGCAAATGAGAAGGAAGAGACCCAGTGAGACACACTCTTGGTCCAGCCCCTGCCACATCAATGGCAGAAAGTAGAAGGGGTGACCTGCATGAGCTCTCAGCAAGTTCACAGCAAGACCAAATTGGAGAGAACGGCTCCCACACCTTGGAGCAGGACCTAAACAACATGGTGGCATGGGCAGAGCTCAAATGCAAACACAAAACCCTGCAGGTGGGCAGGGCTGGGGCCCGGCTTCCCATCTGTCCAGGAGAACAGGACCTTGGTGGACAGCAAACTGAACAGGAGCCAGCAGCAGGACCTTGCAGTGATTAAGGTCAATCACAACCTGCAAAAGCACAGCCAGCAGGTTAAGGGGAGGGATTACTCTCTTGGAAGCTGCATCCTGAGTACTGTGTCTAGTCTCGAAACTCTCAGGACAGACACTGACCTACCAGAGCAATCTGAGTGGAGGATGCTCAGACAGCTGGGGCTGGAGCACATGATGCAGAAGGAGAGGCTGCCAGACCTGGGCTCGTTCAGCATGACAAGAAGGTTAAGCGGGATGTTATTACTGTCTTCAGCCACCTGATAGCAGGGCATGGAGAAGACAGAGCCAGGCTCTTCTCGGAGTTGCACAGCAGAAGAACCAGGGGCAACAGGACCCAGCTGCATCCCAACAGGGTAGCTGGGACCAGAACAAGGGCCCGGAGAGGTGGGGAACCTCCCTCCTTACTGAGATTCAAAATTTAAGTTGGCCCTGCTTTGAGCAGGTGAGTGGACTCAATGACTCCAACCCAAATTATCAACCCAAATTATCCTGTGATTCCACAGGGAAACTAAAGACAAAGCTGTCACCAAGGCCAGAGTGTGCAGACTCAGCCAGCCATGACTTGTGTGCATGGTACCCCCTGGCCCGCAGATCTTATCGTCGTATTTCCAGTGAAGTGATGCTGTAAAGCCATAAAGTGCTCTGAGGCAATCCACAACTAAGAGATGTTATTAAAAAAGATACAGAAGAAGGTTGGGTACCAATCCTGTACAGGTCAGGAACCAGGACAAGAAGCTCAAAGGGCATTTTAAATACGAACAAGAGGAAGAGCTCAAGCGCTACCCCTGAGCCATAGAAAACAGGGGTTCATGCAGGGTCCTGGAGAGGCACTGTTCTGCCAACCCAGCAACCAGAGAGCCACACCAGGCCACCCAAGAACTGGCGTACCCTGCTTTGACTGTAAGCTCTGTCATTATCAACCTCCAGCTGGCCATACGCAACCAAACACCTTCCCCCTTGCTACAGCATTTCTTCACTTTTCAGATGGGGGGTGAAGCAACCCTTCCAAGGGGGCGAGGAGGATTTCTGCATAGCAGTGCAGTATTTCAGAGGTGGTGGTTAGACCTGGGCACTGGGAACTGACACAGTCCTCATTTGAGGAAGCTGTGGTTATAGAGAAATGAGGCTGGAAAAGTCCTGAGTCATCTTGTAATTCAACGATTCCCGACACATTCATCAAATCTGTTCTAGAGACCTCTGGGCAACAGCTACATCCAAGGAAAGGATGCAGCACCTCCGCCACATGCCTCACTCTGTCTCCCACGCTGCAGGCAAACCCCACCACACCTCACCCACAGCCCTTATGTCCAGCTTCTGCATCCCAACAGCTGTTCCTGCTGGGGAGAAAACCCGCAGGCAAAGCAGGAAAACAAGTTCTGCTTTTTTAAAATCGTTGCTTTCTCCAGAGCCCCAGCTGCGCAATGCTACAAGGTCAGCATGTGGAAGCCCTCCAGCCACCCAAAAATACGAATCCTGCCCAAACCTGCTTTGTCAGTGGGGAAGAGGCAACAAGCCATGTTGCATGGTGTCAGGCAGCTGTGAACAGCAGAGAGGATGGGCTGGGGAGGGGGACATGCTCCAAATTTCTTGTCCCAAAGGCAAGACAAAGTGCTTGCACTGCTCCTCTGGGATCAATAACGGAGCCACAGCACTGAGCAACCCCTCACCCCAGGACAGCCCTGCCGCAGCCCAGGCAAGAGGAGAAATAACCCCTCCGGGTGAGCAGGGTCAGGCCACCTGTATTTCTGAAGGGCTCCAGGCAGCGACTGGAGCATCTCAAGAGGCCTCGCCGGATGCCAGAGGAGGACAGACAGGTTTGGGGAGCTGCAGAGCCCGGCCCCCATGGGAAGGATGGGGTATCCTCACAGCACCGGCGCTCACAGGCAAAGCGTTGTCTCGAGCTGAGCCACATCCAGGCACAACAGAGCCCAAGAGTGGGAGTTTGAGCTCCGGGGCTGCAAACAAGGAATGCAGCCCACATGCGGAGACGTCACATCTCACCCCCTCTGGGAGCTCCCAGCTCTGGGTTTAGTTCTCCATGTGCTCCATTTGGGGAAGAGCAGTGGGTTTTGCACTGTTCAATGACCTGGTATGGCCGCATGGGAGTTGTGTTCAACATCTGCCAGCCAGAGACCTGCTTGGCCCCCAAAAAGACACCGCAAGGCTCCAAGAAAAAGGCAGGAGCTGTATCTACCCAGCAGGAACCACCACGGATTCTGCAGAATCAGCCTGAGCTGCAGAGCCAGGACTGAGCTCAGACACAGCAGCAACGAGCCCCATCACCCCACACATCTGACAACCCTTCACAAGCTCCTTCGGACAGTTTGGCTACACCACGGTTGACCCTTACCCAACCCCACCCAGATCAGTTCTCCCAAGAAGTGACATCCCCCACTGCCTCCATCCCTGGCCAGGACTCACCTCCCTCACCCCCCAGCCCCTCTGCTCCCCATGCGGACTCACCAGCAGTTGGGCAGGTTGAGCGTGATGCTGGCCTGGATGCCCGCCCCGAATCGCAGGTACCCCAGGACGCTCAGGCTGATGTACAAGATGGTGACAAGGGTCATCCCCACGTAGAGGATGACCGGGAACTGCCGGGGGTTCTTCATCTTGTTTTCCAGAGGCAGCACCTGGGAGAGGAGGAGGAGGATGACGATGGAGCAGCAGGTTGCCCTGTTCCTCTACACCCCTCAGCCCCAGGAAGCCGGAGAGGAAGCCCCCTCG